AAAAAAAAAAAAAAAAAAAGAAAAAAATTTGTTGAACATGGTTTGGCAGAAGAGGCAAAAACCTTAATTTAGCAGAAACTGCAAAGCAGAGGGAGAAATTTTTTAAAATTATACATAGAAAATAATAAATATATTTCAGACTTTTCCCACCCATTTAAAATTTCTTTTATCTGCTTTTTTCTTATTTTAATTGTTACAAATTTAATAAGTTGAGGTAGCATGTTACTTTAGGTTGATAGCTTTGCTTTTTTAGGTAATTCAAATCTACATATAATTTTTTAAGTGCTATGTTAAAAGAAACCAGGCCAAAATATTGAATTGACTAAATATAGTAAATTTTTAATTAACTTCTGTTATGGAGATTTTCAAGTGAATACAAAAGTAGGAAGTGTAGTATAAGTCTCTATATACATACTTACTACCCAGCTTCAACAGATAACCTATTGCCAACCTCTAGGTTCGTCTCCTGCCCCATTTCCCCAGCTGTATTATTTGGAGTACAACTTTGCATACTGTTTCATCCTTATTATTGTAGTGTATATCTGTAAATGGTAAAGACTCTAAAAAGCATAATGACCATATCATTATCACATCTAAAAGCCAAGTAGTAATGATTCTTTAATATCACTAAGTATCTGATAAGCATTCTTATTCTCAATTATCTTCTAAATGTAATTTTAAAAATTTTTATAGGTTAGCTGAATTAGAATGTGAATAAGATTGACACTTTGTAATTGGTTTATAAGCTTTTAAAGCTCTTACAAAATTTACTCCTTAAGCAGGGGGTATAGTTCAGTAGCATAGTATATAAAAGCCCTGGGTTCAATACATAGCACATGTGCGCGCACACACGCACACATGCCAAACAATGTTCTTCCTCTCCCTCCCCAAATTTATTTATTAAGTAAGCAGAATGGTAGAGTGTATGCCTAGAGTGTGCAAGGCCCTGGGTGCAATTCCCAGCACCAAAATAAATAAGTAACCGAATAATCAGTTTAGCATCCTGTTGAATTTCCCACAGTGGGCTAGTTTAACATGCTCCTATTGTCTTAATTTCTTGTAAGTTAGGTCTAGAAACTCATCGTTGGGTCTAGAGACAATAAATAATTGTTATACTTAGTTATCTTTAGTAATAATCTCTTTAGTAGCTGAATCTATATTCAGTTTGAATCAGTAATGTTCAAAGTAATCGAGGGGATTTTTAAAAAATCAAAGCTTATTATCACCTTATTGTATTTACATATCTGTCTTTGAAAAGCATCATTTATTAGAACATTTAAAATTTGTTTTTATACTCTGTTTAGAAATTGAATCTATGAATATTTTCTCATCATTTTTTAGGCTGAGATAGCAAACACGCTTTTTCTCTTGGAAACTAAATGGGATACACTTAGAATTTGTTTTTGAGTTGGCTGTTTCTATGGCCTTCCTTGTGTCTGTGGAACTATAGGTATTTCACAGTTCTCTGGGGACTCCATGGGACAGAGGAGTACAGGGATGGCAAAAACTACTACATAATTTACAATAAGTATTTAATAAATAAGATGAAATTGTTATTCTTGTAATGAAACTTAGTAAGTAAAAATAATAAATAGTACCAAGCTGGGTGAAGTGGTGCATGCCTATAATCCCAGCACTTGGGAGACTGAGGCATGAGGATTGCTGTGAGTTTGAAACCAGCCTGGGTTACAGAGTGAGTTCAAGGCCAGCCTGGATTACATAGTGAGACTCTGTCTCAAAAAAAAAGTACTGGGATTATTTCTGAATTTTCCAATTATAATTAAAATATTTATACTACAGTTAAACTATTTCATTATTTTATATGGTGGATTGTGCTGTTATTCTTACCTGATTTACCATTTTTACAGAAACAGCTGTAATACCCATTAATGGTTCACCTCGAACACCCAGGCGAGGTCAGAACAGGAGTGCACGGATAGCGAAGCAACTAGAAAATGACACAAGAATTATTGAAGTTCTCTGTAAAGAACATGAATGTAATATAGATGAGGTAATTTTCCTTTGTGGTTGCCTTAAAACAGATAAAATAGATTTATATATAAGTTCTTCCTAATAGAATATATTTTTTACGTGGTGAGCATGCTTTTTTTGTTAGTACCAACTCTTTTTGGTAGTAAAATATTTAGAAAAAATTTATTTTTCATATTCAGTTACTTGGCTTTTAAAGAGAATAGCTTCCTCACTGTGAAATAACTAAAATGTATATCATTAAAGAGAGTTTTCAAATGTATTTCTGAAATTAATAATACAATACCTCTAATGTGTTAAAATACTCTTCCAAAAAAACTTCAAAGTTTTGGTTCAGTGATAAAAGATACTAAAATCGAATTTATGTTTGGCTTTGTATAATACTTTCTAAATATTATACTAGATGTTGTTAATGGCTGATGGAAATCACATATATATACATAACTGAGAATTACTTACTCACAAATCTGGGATGCTAGAATTGAAAAGACTCTTACAAGTAATATACTCAGCTTTTTTTTAGTGATAAGTACACTACCAGACACTGATAGCTCATTACTAACAGAATCTACACTGAAATTTCAAATATATGGTACTAGCACTCTTTTTCACTCCACTGTGCTACTTTTCTTAGTTATATATGTCTGGTACCACCAGACAGCAATGTGAAGTCTTGTGTAGTTGAAATTTCTCTGTCAACTCTGAGAAAGAATAAGGCTACGTTGCCAAAGTCTAATTTAAGAAATACTAGAATGATTTATCAAGGTATGTGGGTTTTGGTATTGTGATTCCTGTTAATGTCAACAAATATAGCTAAATCAAATTTATATAAATATACACATGTATTTACTTCTACTTTTTTAGAATCACAGATTACTTTTATAAGTAACTTGACAATAATTGAAATATTTCTTTTTATTTCAATTTTGTTGCTTATCCACAAGATATTAAATAGTAGTAAATGTAGTTTTTCTGATTCCTGGTTGTTGATTCTATGGATTTCATAACTACTTATAAAATTTTAAGATTAGAAATAAATTATTTTAACTTTTCATCTTAAAATACTTTCTTAGAATTTAGAATCTTTATAATTGTGACTTTAATTAAAAGCCTTAATGATATTTTAATTAATTGACACTTGATTGTTTAAACAAGTACGTATGACTGTGTAACTATTGATTAGTCATACTAATTAACTATTACCTTACAAGTATTCTAGGTAAGTGGAAATTAATTAGAAAACAAAAACAGTAAATATTTCAGAGACGTATTACAACTTATTTGTAAAGTAGAAGATAACTAATATTAAATTACTCCTATCTTAGTAATTATGCAATTCAAATTTGGAAAGGAAGCCAAATAAAGAAAAACAAGTTGTTTAAAGTTCTCTAATGGATTGCAAGTGTAAAGTAGGCAGGAATATAGTAACTCCAGATTTTCAGAGTTTGTTTTTTAATCCATGGTTTACTGTTGGGTGCTTTTGCATGAAATAATTCATGATCCCATGAAACATTTTCATTTGGTTTTGAAACGAATTGTTGCGTAATAATTTTGTGTGTGAAGCTGTTTTCTTAAATTTATGCTTAAAAAATTGACTGCTTTTGGCTAAATTAACTTTGCTGTCAGATGACCTGGATGTGAAGTGACTCAAAATGTGCACTGGGGAAAACTCACAGGGAGAGTAAGGAAGTGAAAAAATCTGTGCTTCAGTAGTAGATTAGATTATAATTGCAACTGTGCTGCTTTGTAGCTATACAACTTAGGTCAAGTTGCTTAATTTGTCTGGGAGCCCTGCCATTTATCATTGGTTAAATGAGGAATATGGAATTTGACTTCAAGGGCTTCTTTTCCTATAAATCCCATTTCATTAACTGTTCCCTATTTCCCTCCATTTTAGGACTTGGAATCCAGCTCACATGCATTCAAGAATAAACAATTAAATTAGTTGTAAATAATTTATTTATAAATAAATTTTATAAATAAATTTTTATAAATTTTATAAATAAATTTATAATTTATTTATAAATTAATTATAAATAAGTATTAGCTTGAATATATGTTATTGATCAAATGAGTTAGCAGTTTTATTTTAGTATTGATAGTGACAGATTTGCTTTATTTTAAGTGTTAATGGACATGTTGTGACTTTTATCTTTTTCAGGTGAAAAATGTTTATTTTAAAAACTTTATACCTTTTATGAATTCTCTTGGAATAGTAACTTCTAATGGACTTCCAGAGGTAATCAGAAAGAAAATTTAATTAAAATTGATGGGGAGTATAGTTGTCTACATGTCTTTTTTTTCTTTTTTTTGTTTTTTTCTGGTACCAGGAATCGAACTCACGACCTTGCACTTGCCAGGCAGGCTCTGTGCAGCTGAGCTAAATCCCCAGCCCCTGTCTACATGTCTTAAAACCAATTTACTGTGTATCGAATATATTCTTTACCCAAAGAAAGAAAACTAGCTGAGGAGAATTACAAAATCAATTTTTGTATGGTAACAGAAAAAACTTTTGAACATGTATACACATTTTTAAATGAGCATAATTTTGTGATGTGTACTAGAAATTTATTTTACCTGAAATTTACATGTAGCCTTTTAAGTTTCTAAATGTCATTAAGTATCTAAATATAGCTAACTATATATAATAAAATTAATGCTAATTTCCTGTGCTAGGCATTATTAAATATTATGGCATTGATGTAATTTGGAGCATCTCCTTTGAGTTCTTTTCAAAACCACTTCAGGTCTTGCACTGTGGCACACACCTGTAATTCCAGCACTCTGGAAGGTTGAGGCAGGAGCATTGCAAGCTCAAGCCTGGCCTGGGCAGTTTAGTGAGACCCTGTCTCAAAAGATAAAAAAGGGTGACCTTTTAGGCAGTTTCCAGTATCACAAAGCAAAAAACAACACAATGGAGAAAGAAACAAAAAAACCCACTTCATTGAAAATTTGATTGAAGTGACTGTGATTGTACTGCAGAAATATTTTACCTATGTGGTGTACATTCTTTTTTTACCTTTTTTTACCTATGTGGTGTACATTCTCCTATTTCTTTTCACATTTTGCCACAAAAGTCTTTTCAATAGAACAGAACAACTGAGAGCTTAAGGTGAACTGTAGGATGAAAGGATGTTTTAATAAATGAACTCAGTGATAAAGCAGTGTTTTAGAAGTAGCTAGTATTAATCACCTACACCAAAGGCATGAATCTGATAGCTATACAGGTGATTCTGTAACCTGACTTGGTAGCTAATTCCTGGATTAATTGACATTAATTCAGCAAAAACTTATTGACTGCTTAATATGTGCCAAGCATTGTGCTGATAACTGTGAACACACAGATTTAATTCTTAGTCAGTGCCCCTTGGGTGCTAATGGGAGAGGCCCAGCGTTCTGTGCTATTTCAGAGGAAAGCTGCCTCATCCAAACTGGGGAAGATAGGTTTCTTGTTTGGAGGTTATGTGATAATTTCTGGGTAAGGCTTATGAGACATGGCATTTCCAGGGATTGGAAATGGGTTTGTACAGTACATTCAAAAGCTTAGTGCTAGCCAGTGGCATATCCTCATCAGTGAACTCCATATAATCCTGTAACACTGGGATACAGGGCAGAAGATTGCTAAAGACACCATACCAGAGAGACAAAGAGGGACTAGGAATAGTATTAATGAGTGTTTTCGCATTTGCACCATATTTTTAGTAATCCTTTGTCTCCTTAGATAGGATAACAGTTTTAGTAGAAATCTTAAAAATTATATTTCACGTATAATAGCTAATCAGTGTATGATAACTAGTGCCTCACTAAAGAAGAACAGGACCCATAATTAAACTGAACAAGCATGAATGGCTGTTCCGCCTAATATACAGCCACAGACAAATATACAGTTTACACTGAACTGAGTTTTCTCTTCCCACATTGTCTTGTTTCTTTCTTGTTCCTGGGACAAAGTACCCAACACCTACAATTTAAAGTGGGAGAGGTTTACTTTGGCTCACAGTTGCAGTCCATCATTGGCAACTGTAAGGCAAAAACAGCATGGTGAAGGCATAGCAGAGAAAAAAGGTACTCAATACAGGGCAGCCAGAAAGCAGAGAGAAAAAGGAGGAGCTGGGAACAACAATACTCCCTTCCAGGTCACACTTCCAGTGACCACCTCCAACCAGGTCCCAACTCCTAAGAACACTTTGGCTGCTGAGCTCATCATGAATGAACCCACTAATGAGGACAGCATCCCCTGATCCATTTAGCTTTCAAATACATGACATTTTGTGGGACATTTTAGATCTAAACTGTAATGTACTCCTTTTAGAATGCAATGTTAGGGCCGGAGATTTAGCTCAGCAGCACAAGCGCCTGTCTAGAATGCAAGGTTAAGGCTGGGGATTTAGCTCAGCGGCACAGCGCCTGCCTGGCAAGTGCGAGGTCATGAGTTCGGTTCCTGGTACTGGGAAAAAAAAAAAGTGTCAGAATGTAAAGTTAGTTCTCTCATTGGCTTTAAAAGTCACAGCAGCAGCTGGGAGTGTAGCTCAATGGTAGAGTGCTTGCCCAGCCTGCAGGACGTCCTGGGTTTTATCCCCAGCACCAGCAAAACAAAACAAAAAGGACACAGCAGACACCTTGTCTAGAGTTGTTTACTGGTTATTGATTTTCAAATTACAATTAGAAAATTTTGGACCAGAACTGATAAATAATATAGATTCTGTCATTTTAAAAATGTCCATATCAGTTGGGCTAATTATTTGATCTTCTGTTGCCTGAGATACTTAACTGAAAGGAGATTGAGTGAGTCAGAAGATTTAGAAAAGATTGTAGAACAAATAGTCAGGAAGATTTGTTACAATACTTAAAACAACCCTTTATTTTATATTGATAAATGTAGAAGAAGATTAAAAGTGAAGGATATATAGGATATTTGAAGAATCTTAGCAGTTAACTAGCTATTATACAGGTTGAGAATCCTCAGTCTGAAACCTGAAATGCACTGTCAGATCTGGAATTTTTTTGAGCATTGGTATGACCATAAGTAGGAAGTTCTGTACCAAGAAACATTGTTTCATGCATTATTAGTATATTAGATAAAATTACCTTCAGACAATAGGTATTAAAATATATACATGAAACAAATGAATTTTGTGTTTAGATTTGGATTCAATTCCTGTATCTCATTTTATGTGCACAAGTACTGTGTTTCAAAATTTAAAAAAATCTGAAATCAGAAGCACTTTTGTTCACAAACATTTTAGAGAAGAGACACTCAACTTATAATACCTATTTTTTTAATCATAAGTACCATTTTGTGGCACTGATGATCTTTCTCAACATCAAGTTGTAATAAATGGGGTTCATGCATAAAATAGGCTTAAAATTGAAGGTGAAAAATGTTTGCAACTTTCTATACTTTTAGGTAGGCTTTAATATTTTTTGTGAATTCAGTGTATACTGTAAGATGTATATTGCACAAAACTTCTTTAATATTTGTTTCTGTATGTTGAGAGATATAGTAACATGAAAGAATAATCAGTATTTTTTCTTTTGAGGTTGAAAGTCTCTCTAAACGGTATGAAGAAACTTATCTTAAAAACAAAGATATAGATGCAAGATTATTTTTGGATCATGATAGAACTCTTCAGGCTGAGCCTATAGACAGGTATTACATATGGTATATTTTTATAGATATGCTTTTGATACAGTTTAATATTGATACAGGTAGATTAAATAAGTTTTTATTAACTTAGTGCCTTAGAATTTATAAAGAAAAGATTAACAGTATTCTTAGCATGTAATTTGTTAACAAATAATTTATGTGAATTATGCTCAACTATTATTTTTCCCAGTAGTTTAATTATAATTTTTAATATGTGCACCAAAAGAAAATAGTTGCACTAATTACTCAAGTGATGGTCTCTTTTTTGCCCATTCTTTTCATCTACTATTGCCTACTCAGTTTTTTAAAATTAATACAAAAATATATTCTCTTGAATTATTAATATGTTTCTCTTAAAATGTATTCTTTTGAACCATCCATCCTAAAATGTAGGTGGTCAGAAGTAATTATAAAACTTTTGAATGATTATAAGTAGGTTAATTTTGTGTCTTTAGTATGAAATATTTTAATATAACTTTAAAATGTTACACATAATTTGGAAAGTACATGCAGTAAAATGCTTTATATTTAATTTATTTTTTCTAAGAGTAGGAAAATTCACTGGGGAATAGGAAAGGGAAATAACAATAGCTCCTAAGAGACAGGAAAGATCTTCAATGGGTTGCCAATAAGCCCTGTTCTCTGAGAAAGTTTTATAGGGCAAAGTCACGAAGGGCAGTTACAGTGTGGGTTAAATTATAATCAACCAGTAAGAGTACAAGTATAGCCACTTAGCTAATAGTGATCCAGTAGTAGCAAGGATATATGGATGACATCAGTAACCTTGGTCGGTAAAGTATAGTCTTAGTTTTGTCTTTAGTCTTAGTCTTAGTAGTCTTAGTCTTGGTGGGAGAGGATGGTCCACTCCTAATGAGATAATGATTTGTTTATATGGGAAATCTCAAAAGGGTGGTACCAGTAATCTCAAGCTTTCTTATGGAAATGTGTAAATCTGGTCATTGTGACTTTAATCTTATTCAGATGTTCCTCCAGCCAGTTTTTGATGTGTTCTCATCTTGTGCACCGACTCCCTTGAGGGCCCAACCCTGCCTGACTACCTATAATATTTCTACCTAATTTAGCTATCTATAATATTGCCCCTTCTGAAGAGCTATCCCTAACTGTGGTTAGGGGAGAAGGGGTATAGTTTCTCTCTAGGTGCTTGGAACTGAGAAGAGTTGGTGTAGGGGAGACTGCAGTCAGGGGCCTCCTCCAGAGAGCTAATCGACTGGGCCTTGACTAGAAGTCGAGTTGCTGTTTAGCAGTTATGAACTCCCTGTAAAAGGTCAGTCTTGTGGCTCTCGGTAGAAGGAGTCTAGCATGTTTGTCATGATCACCTGTTGTTTGGCAACCTCTAGACAAAAATAAACAAACTTTCCGAGAAATTAAAGGAAAGCATAAGCACTAGACTAGAAAAGCAAGCTGGGGATTGAGCCACATGTAGAAACTGCTCTTAAGGGACTAGAATAGCCATTGTGACCAGTTGGCTGTTAGACCCCTCTACTGATGGAAGTTACCTGCAAGTCTGATATTTCTTGTCCCTCTAGTTTTAGCTGTAAAAATGTGGTGAGTTTTTAAAAAATATGGTGAATTTGATGGTTTTGAAGGACAATTTTAGCTAAGGAATTTAAAGACTTGTTGATATTTCATAGCACCGGTTTCTGGCCCCATAAATGTATTAAGACATATCTGAAGAGGGGGTCTGTCCTACTAGCAGAGAGAGAAAATTCCAAATCTGTAGCTCAACTCTTAACGGAGATTTAAGAAAGGGCACTAACAGTGCTGTCTCAGGTCACTCTGGGGCAGAGGATACCAGGAGATCACTGAAAGAGTTTTACTTCTCACCTCACTGAGGTGTGCAGGTGGGGACCATAGATAAATGGAGATTTCTCCGCTGGTTACCCAGTTGGCCTGTTGGGACCCAGCTTCCACTGAAGAGTCTTTGGGCACCCATTGATGCCCATTTGGGGCCTGGCTCTTCAGTTGTTCTCTCAGCTTTCACTGGTCCCATTCAACCAGATATCTGTTTCTGGAAAGGAATCCAGCTGTCTGTCTGGGCAACATTAACCGGAAGATGCCAGGGAAACCTGTACTTTCCTTTGAGAGTGGCAGCTGTTCTAACAGTGGTTAACTAGCTGGCAGAGTAACTACTGTTTCTTAGAGTTCTGTAAGGACAGATAGAGATGGTGTGCATGTATATTTCCTAGATATAATTCATTTTACAGCATTTTACAATTTACATTTTTGGCTAGTATCCCAGTCTGCTAGGGGAATGCTGTTACCTTTCCCCAGTGCCATCATCTAAAATAAGACAACAGGCTATCTTGTTACCATCAAACAAGTCAAGCAAGGACTACCAGTACATTCAGCAACTAGTAAGACTAAATGTAGCATAAAAACAGGAATACAAGACCCTGCAGAAATAAAATGTCCTATCAGAGAAACAGAGAAACATCATAACTTCCCCATGCTCTCAACTTAAATCTACCAGCATTTTAACAAAAAGACAAGATATAAATGACTGACAAACAAGATGACAATTTCATTTACCTAAATGAGTCATAATCCAGAATCCAGTTGAATTATTTAGGGGTGCCATGAAACAAAAGCAGACTTGTACCTCCTTCCAAAAAGCTCAGTGGGCCCTCCAAGATGATATAGGGGAAAAATATGTAACTTCCAACCTGCTAGATACATGAGTGCGTGTTCCCCGTAGTCAGAGAATGACTTCTAAGGAACAACAGAGGTAAAGAATATGAAATTTTGGGGGCACTAGGAATGAGGAGTAGGAATAGCTTCTGAAAGACAAGAGGGGTTCCGAATGGTTCGCCCAATATTTTTAATTTTATATGAGCAGAAATAAAATGTTTAGAAGATATCTTGCATCGGAAAACTTGAGCTTCAATATTTTTTACTTCTGAGTAGCTTGGTTATTAATACTTACTAGCAAGAAAACATTTAATTTTTACTTTCAAGAAAATACTGAATGGTGCATCTCTTTGTCATAAACGTAATGGAAAGAGACCCACTGTTAAAAACAATGTTGAAAATATAAAAATTTGTTTAGGTACTGGTTGAATCACCTATTTTCTATCACTTCTATCATTGGCTTACTGTTTTGTATGAGATCTTATGAAGCAACAAGAGGTATCATACTCTTTTTTTGACTGATAAGGCACAAATTGTAAATTTTCTGTATGAATGACTTTGCTTGTTATTTAGTTTTGAAATGCAGAGAACACCACAGAAAAGTAACCCTGATGAAGAAGTAAATGTGATTCCTCCACACACTCCAGTTAGGTATGAATTTTTTTCTTTTAATTAAATTCTTTAAATTCAGTGCTTTATAATGTTTCAGGTTTGTTCATTTGTTTCATTTTATATTCGTACATACAAGTAACATATATATTGAATATTCTTTGTGTCTCAAATATTTTATGAATTGCTTAGGTTACAAATATTAGACCTCCTATCTATTCTTAGGAATTTAACCTAAAACATGTATGTGTTCCATCTCAGTAAAGAAAAAAAGAAAATCTGTTTTTGATTAGGATATAATCTTGAAGTCTTATAACTTATTTTTAATGTTCTTTTTATCACTGGCTTCTCACATCTTTATCTATGATCAAGTCTTGTTGAATATACTTCTGAACTATTTCTAGAGTCTGTCTGCTTTTCTTCATCTCTAATCTCACCACTCTCGCCCAAGACGTCTTTCACTTGGACTTTTCGTAGTAATCTCCTAAGTGCTCTTTGTGCTGCTGCTGTCATTGCTCTTTATCCATCCCACCGTCAGACCTGCTCTCCACATAGCCTCATGAAGACTATTCTAGGAATATAAATCAGATCATCATTTTAAAACTAGGTGCTTCCACTTACAATTGGAATATGATGCAAATTCCTTAACACTGTCTACAAGACTTGTAGACAGTGATGGATATTTGGCCACTTCCAAGATTTAGCTATTATGATTTGTACTGTGATAAACATGGTTCTATTTTCAGTTTCTCAGACTCTCCAAGTCCTCCTGCTTGATACTCTCTTCTTAAAACTCTTCCTTCCTTTCCATGGATTGTTAGCTGTTATGTTTTCTTTGTTTAGCACAAACAATGATTTTTTAAAGATATAATTCTCTTTAAAGTGTTTTCCTTTATTCTTTCTCATAGCATCTTCTTCTATTCCTTTATAGCTTGTGTCATAGTTTATAATTGTACATTTATTTGTGTGTTTGCTTTTCATCAATATCCACAATAGTCTTTAAATTCCATTCATAAAACCATGACTTTTGTTCACTATTTAATAATTAAAGCTTAACATAATGCTTGGTACATAGTAAACGATCAGTAATATATTTCAAATGATTGTATAGACATGTAAACAAATGTACTTTTGTACATACTTATATAAGTATGGTAATAGAGTTATGGACAAGTTAATGCAGTGACACAGAAGAGACTTTTCTTATGTTTATTCACTGTTAGTACATGTTTGTAATATAGTTTGTATGTTTATCTCAGGGAGAAGGAGTAGGTACATGTACTAAACATACTTTTTCATTCTGTTTCTGCTCCTTGCCCACCCTCCCCACCTCCATCTTTAGTTCTTTTTCCCATTTGTGAAAGATCTATTTCTTCTTTGCCTATTGTGTATGTGTTATTTTTTAAATTACTTATACTTTGGCGTTGTCATACAAGAGAAGTGCTGCAATAGTTAAGCTTGTGTGTCTGATTTATTTCACTTAACATGGTTTCAAAGTTTATCCATTTTCCTATAAATAAGTCAAGTTTATTATTCTTTGTGGTAGACTACTACTCCATTATGTATGCATACCACATTTTCTTTATTCATTCATCTGGTGATGGATATTTGGCCACTTCCAAGATTTAGCTATTATGATTTGTACTGTGAAAAACATGGTGTATGTCACTGTGGTATAATATCTTTAGCTCTTTTGGGAAGATACCTAGAAGAGAATAACTGGTTGGAATGGAATTTCTGTTTTTAACTTTCTGAGGAATTGCCACATTGATTTGCATAATGGTTTACTAGTTTACCTTACCAGCAACAATGGTGAAGGTTTCCCAGCCTTGCCAAGATTTGTTATTGTTTGATTTTCTTATGTTAGCCACTTTTTAAGAGTAAGGTGAAATCTCAGTGTTGTTTTATTTGTATTTCTCTGATGACCAGGGATGTTAGCATTTTTTCATGTATTTGTTGGTCATTTGTACTACTTCTGAGAAATATATGTTATTTTCACTTACCAATTTTTGTTGGGTCTTTTATTTTGGAGAGTGTGATTTTTTAGTTCTTTATAAATTCTAGATATTAGTCTTCATGATCATCTCAAGAGATGCATAAGAAGCCTTTAACAAAATCTGGCATCCATTCATGGTAAAAATCATGAAGAAAACAGATATAGAAGGACTTAGTCTGATAAAAGCCATTTATGACAAACTTACTGCCAGCATCGTATGAAATGGGGAACAACTGAAAGCTTTTCCTCCAAAATCAGGAACAAGACAAGGATGTCTACTACCAACACTCCTGTTCAATGTACCCTCTTCCCTGAAAATAAGACCTAGCTGGAAAATAATCAGCCCTAAAACTAGAGATCAAAAATGCCAACCCCAATTAGCCTATCTTGCCTCATCTACCAGGAAAGGAATTTCAAAACAGAATCTTGATTGCACAAGAAGTAGCGATGGGAATCAATAAATGAGATTGTATAAAATTAAATAGCTTTCTGCACAATGAAGGAAGCAATCACTACAGTGTAAAGAACCTATAGGATGGGGGAAAAATTATACTGGCTACTCCTGATAGAGAAAAGACTTTTTTTTTTGGAAAAGACTTCTTGAAGTGATATCTGAACTGAATTTTGAAACATCTGTTTCATAGAACAGGCATTTTAGGGAGTTAGAATAGCATATATAAAGGCATGAAGTTTGAAACACTGTAATTCATCTGGGGCACCATTAGCAGCTCTCTAATGATTCACTGTAGGGTGAAATAGCAGCAGGGAGAGTAGGTGTTAGATATGAAAGACCTGGTATGTTACCTTGTACATGATGTCAATTATGGGATAAATGGGTGGTAGGCAGGGGTAAGGGTAAAGTCGGACTTGATTTTACAAGTTATGTTAGTAGTTAGTGAGGATATGGACCGAGGAGGACAGAAGATGAGGAATAGATCTGTCAGCCTGTCTCAGTGTTTCTTAATCAGGGTACAGATGAGACACCTGACAGATTTTTTGGAGCTCACATGTATAGACTTGACTACCTCAGACAGTGAGTAAAAAATTTATGGACTGACCTGTTGCAGCAATTTAGTTCAAAGATGCTAATGTTCTGAACCAAGAGGGTAGAGTTAGGAATGAAGGAGTGAGAATGGGCTTGATAAATATTTTATGAATTCATATTTAGAATCTTGTTTGAGCATTTATGAAAACCATATCTAGTAAATGTTAGGGTATCAGGCTCCTAATAGATTTAGGAATCATCAGGTGGAGTTAAAAATCTTAAAAAAAAAGATATGACTGAAGTGAGGGATTATCACAGCAAGAATGGTGGTAAGGGCAAAAATGTGAAGAATGCTAGCAGGTAAGGGCTGTAGAAGTTAGATCCTATAGAATGAGAGGTGTTGGCTTGGGAGCTTTAGAGGGTGAAGCTAAGAAAGCTGAAGTGGCCCATGAGCTTCAGGAAAGAACAAGTGCTGGAGTGTCAAATGCTTCAGGATAGTCAATTGTCAGTATAAATGAGAAAGGCCTTTTGGTTTTAACAGGTGGTCATTTATTGCTTTAGTCATGGCTTAAATAGATTAACAGGCATGGAAGGCACAGAAGTTGCATGGCAGTATGTTTGAAAGGCAATGTATAGATACCGGTTTAAAGACGTTTGGCTGAGAGCACTGAACATGTTTTAATAAATAACATTAAAGTGCCTTTTAGTGCTAACATTGCACAGTCTCAGATGTACTTGCTGCTCCAAAGTTGGAGCTTTAACCTTTGCTGTGCCACACACACACACCACACACACACACACACACACACACACACACACACCAGAATTGCAGAATTAAAGAGATCTTTAAAAGAGATCTTTTACTATTACCCAGGACCTTAATATCCTTTCTTCTTGAAGATCTCTCTCTAAAGGAGACGCATTTGATTCTGTTCAAATTAACTAAATATCTTACTGCCCTTGTCACTAGTTTGACCAATTCATGTTTTATTGATATTTAGTTTTATTAGTAAGTTAGCTTTATAATTATAAAAGCTTATTGTTTACGAATACTTAAAGATTAAAGTGAAATGTATTTCCTTGTAAAACGTGGCATAATATGATTTGTTCTTTTTTTAATGAGGCCTTAGTTCAGGAAATTTCTTAAGGATAAATGGGGAATACCATGTGTTAGAAAATAGTTTTAACTATGCATTTGTTTTTTTTTTTCTTTGATTACTTAACATTTCTCTTTTTTCTCTTCTAGAACTGTTATGAATACTATTCAACAATTAATGATGATTTTAAATTCAGCAAGTGATCAACCATCGGAAATTCTGATTTCCTATTTCAATGTAAGCCATATATGAAACATGATCTTTTGTGTTGTGCAATAATTTGAAATAAGAAGTACTGTTTTTAAAACAGTTAACTGCCATCCAACATGTAGCTATCCGTTATTTTATTTCTCATCTTATTATTAGTAATATTGTTTTATTAGACAATGTTTTATTTTCTTATGTTTACCATTTGCCTTGTTCACTGTTCCTTCTTGTAACTTAGACCTCCTTTCTGGGATCATGTCCTTTCTTCTTCAGATATATTCTTTAAAAATTCCTTCGGTGAAGTTAGTTGGGGATGAAATTTTTTTTAATCCTTATTTTTTGTGAGATAATTTAGCTAGATTTTCAGTTCTAATTTGATACACCTTCTCTCAGAAGTCAAAGATACTACTTTACTGTTTCTGTTTTTTTCTTTTTTTTTAATCTTTGTGAAACAGGGTCTTGCTATGCAGTTCAGGTTGGCCTTGAGCTCACTTTGTAGCCCGGGCTGGTCTCGAACTTGCAATGATCTTTCTGCCTCAGGCTCCTGAATCCTGGGATTACACGAGTGTGCCACCATGCCTGAGTACTTTATTGTTTTGAATATACTGTTTTATTGTTCATTGACCTCATCATTACCAATTAAGATGTTATCTGTCAAGCAGTTGTTCCTTCATAGTTAATCTGTCTTTCGTCTTGGTTAATTTTAAGACCTTTTCTTTGAAGGTCATATTAGATATGATTTAAACTCACTGTAGCCCTACAATCTTTTTTATACTATACTTGACCCATTTGTTCGTACAATTCTTGTCTGAGTGCATCACAGTTTGGAATTCCTGATAGATCCTGAATTTGATATCTGAAAGCCCCACCTGCATGCCCTTCTCTCAAAAAATGGGTGGAAAAGGAGACAGTGACAATTAGCTTTTATATGTAGCTTGTTCCTTCACTTCTTATTTCAACTTAAATGAAGTTAAGGCTTGCTAATATGCTCATCTAAGGAAATGGCATACAAGGCCAAAATACTTACTAAAATTTGGTTTATGTAATTAGTGCTTTCTATATTTGTTAAAAAGTCATTTATTATACTAACTTTATTACTGTAGTATGATTAATCTTATTCTGATGTTATCTCAGGCAGTGTTCTGCCTGGGAATTAGCAAAGTAATTTTTTTTATCATATAATGGTGTTGATTCAGAACTGATTGTCTTTGTCCAGTTTGTATAAAGTTGCTTTTATTTATGAATTATCTGTAGTGGAAGAATATTTGCCAAAACATTACCAAATTGGGCCCAGACCCAATTACGTAGCATTTTTTTTGAAGCAAGGGAAAATGATGGACATTAAATGAATGATAATCTTTCCTCAGATACCAGTTTGAATACTTCCTACAATATTTGGAGTGCATAGGACTTTTTGTTTAGTTTGAATTACTTTAGTTGGGCAGAAGATTCAAGGACATGCTCTGGGAGTTCAATTTAAAGCCTAGCTATTTTATTTATTTTTGTAGTATTAGGGGTTGAACTCGGGGGTTCGCAGACTGTGCTATATCCCTAGACTTTTTTATTTTTTATTTTGAGACAGAATCTAACCAAATTTCCCAGGATGGCCTTGAACTTCTGATTCTTCTACCTCAGACTCCCTAGTAGCTGAGGTTTCAGGTGTTTGCCACCGTGCCTGACTAATTCTTAACTTTTCAGTGAAGCTTTACAGATTAACTTTGCAGTTTATGTTTTGTTTCTCAGTGCTGGAGATCAAACCCAGGGCCTTGTGCATGTTAGCACTCTACTACTAAACTACAGCCCAGCCCTACAGTTTATGTAGGTGACAGATTGCTTCAGAGTCAACATGTCTTAAAACCCATTACATTTTTAAAAGTTTTACTTATTAGTTCTGCTTTCTTTATTTTTAAAATTAATGTCATTTTGTATTTGTGTAAATCTTAGAATCTGTGGACATTTTAATGGAAGTTTTGGTAACAGTGATTTTATGACAAAATTCTTTGTTATAGGTTTCTAAGATTTGTGTGCTTATTTCATTCAGGGATATAAAATTGGGGCTGGGGATTTAGCTCAGCGGCAAAAGCGCCTGCCTGGCAAGCGCAAGGTCGTGAGTTCGGTTTCCAGTACCGGAGAAAAACCAAAAAAAAAAAAAAAAACAAAACTCAGGGATATAAAATTGTTGGTATTCTAAGATACAAAATTTTTGAATGGCAATATATATATTATAAGAAAATTATAATTTTCTTAGAAAGTTTATTTTCTAGTGTATAATATTTTGAATGTATTTGACCTGTAAAATATCAATCTTTAATTATAACTGTAAGAATTATGTTCATGATGTCTTATTATAACAATATGAATTAGTGAATATTATATCATACTACTCATTTTAATATATTATCCCGTGGTTTGCTTTAATTATTAAAGTTGATATAGCCCAACTCCAAATGATACATACCCACTGGGACTTCATTTATAACTGCTCTTCCATCTTGTATATCTGAAAATGTAGTTAAGTAATTTAGCTGATTCTTGCTTCTTTTTAAGCGTAGTTTTAATGTAGGAAATGATAAACTCAATGTTAGTTTTACTTCTTTATTTCATTTTGGCGGGCAGCAGGAGGGTAACATACACCCTAATACAACTTTTAATTGAAGATATTTTATGAGATTGTATTTTGGATGGAAGAGCTAGCAAATCTCTTCTCTAGCCTGGCAATGGAAAATTTAGGTAAATTTTTTTGGTTGTACCCCAGTGTTTTTTGGTCACTAACATCCAGCAAAAATCTGTTGTATACATATTTTCTATACTTGCGTTTACCTTGTTATTGTGGAAGTGTTCTCACACTTTTATAAATAGTTGAAAACTTTACTATGCAATGAAAATTTTAATTCTGATTAAACAGTGTCCTTAATATTGATTGCTGCTTATATTTCTTAAAGAATTGCACAGTGAATCCAAAAGAAACTATCTTGAAAAGAGTGAAGGATATTGGGCACATCTTCAAAGAGAAGTTTGCTAAAGCTGTGGGACAGGGATGTATTGAAATTGGATCACAGGTAACTTGAGTTCATTTTCTTTAGCACTACTATATAGGAGTAATTTTAAAGGCACTCTCTGTCCAGACTGTACAATACAGTATATACTGCTAGACATACTGGCATATATTGTATCCCCACTATCTGTATATGCTGTTATTTATAAGAAACTTTATGGGAAATCACTTCCTACTTAAAACAAAAACCAAGTGCACATGCCAACTGTGGAAACTTTAGAAATTATGAGTAAAAGGAATTAAAATCATTAACTCAGTTTTTTATTTATATACTTAGATATCTACATATATGAATATTTGTGTATACATTTGTGAATGAAATTACAGTATTTATGCCATTTGTCAGTGATGTGATTGCAGGCAATCTAAAATAAAAAATAAAATCAATACATTGGGTAAGAATATGTGCTCTGGACTTACAGTCTGTGTTTATATCTGGTTATGCTATTTATTATCTGTGTGATGAATATGTTGTTTAACATCTCTGAAATTCAGATTCTGCATTTGGTCTGCTTTATTATGTGGCATTAATGCAAGTAGTATGTAAAAATAAGTTTGTAAATTATAATTCTCTGTACTTGAAAGTTCTTTTTGGTTATATATAACCTTATGCTCTTAATTTGGAATGAAAGAATATGGTTTGTTTTTGCATATATGTGTATATAACTCGGAAGTTTGGTTATTCTTTCAACTGATAGAAACTGGTTATTTGGTTAAAACATCTTGCTGATAAGGTAACTTTTGTGTGATTTTTGCATGTGCCATTTGTACTAAGTTTTATAGGCAGAGATTGTTCTCTTAATCATAAATATGTGAAATGCTTAAAGTAGTACTTGGTATATAACCTCTCCTTAATGATGTAGACTGAAGGAAAATCAAGTAGCAGACCTATTGGTACTATCCCTTTATACACAGGTCTTGTTTTAGACAAGCTACCTTTTTGTGTTCTTTTAGTAGCCATATTCTTAATAAGGGTATTAGGAAGTGTATTTTAAGAAAAAGTTTACCATGAATTAATAATTGTCATGATATTCTAAAATAGCAAGGTCTTATATTTTTTTGTTTGTAGCGATACAAACTTGGAGTCCGATTGTATTACCGAGTGATGGAATCCATGCTTAAATCTGTAAGTTAAAAAGAAAACAGTAGAAGAATATTCAATCCTGACGTACATAAGGTTTCATTTAAATTTTTTTTGAAATTATCTATTTTAGGAAGAAGAACGATTATCCATTCAAAATTTTAGGTAAATTCTTTAGTTTTAGTAAAAATTCTTCCTTTTTTTAAAATAAGACTAAATATTTAAAATCATTCTTTGTTTTTCCTTTAGCAAACTCCTGAATGACAACGTGTTTCATATGTCTTTATTGGCCTGTGCTCTTGAAGTTGTAATGGCTACATATAGCAGTAAGTTAAATTTTAGTAAATAGATGTTTTAGTTCAATTTAAAGTTTTAAAGAAACCCCAGGTGTGTTGTTTTTTGGAAGGGGGTTTTAAGGGGAAGAAAGGTATATTTTAGATCAATGTATTCTGAAGAATGTAACTGACAGCCATAAACAATTTGAGTGGCTTATCATCTGAATCATTTCAGGTCACCTTGAGGATGATGTTTCATGCCCTATTCTGAACTTCCTGAATCCAGGAAATCCTTTCAGAGACCTGTAAGATTGTTAAGTGTAGAGTAGTAGTAAAGAACAGCCAGTTGGCACCTCTATGGCCGTGAGACCAAAGGTCCGAGCTGGGATTCTACAAACTTGAATGCTTGTTAAGCCAACTATGAAAATTTAGTAATTTAGTGCTGAACAGAACAAAGACCAATAAGCATTTTTTTAAAAATATAATTTAAGTATGTATTATTTTACATAATTTTTAAAATATAATTTCAAGTATGTTACAAATGTTTTTTAAAACTTTTGCTTATAGAAGAACATTTGTCTAAGGATACAAATACATAACAAAAGAGGAACTTTAACTAGTAAACATGTACAGAAAACTGAATCCTCCTTAATAACCTAAAGCTGCACATTTTAAAGAAAAACCCTTTTGTTACTAATGAAATTAGCAAAATTTTCATGCACCTTAGCCTTTCTCCACCAAGGCTTTAATGAGCACTAAAATGGATATGGTAAGGAGCTGCTATAAGATGTAAACCTATCCCTAATATAAGTTTAGGATATTTAAACCTTTCAAATTTTTGAATAAACCATGAACTTTTCTTCTAAGGAAAACATAGGTACACATGCAGTCAAAATTTGGAAGCCTATCTTTTGGAAGTCTGTAGACTCCAGAATAAAAAATTCTGCTCTAAATAAGAATAGTTTAACCTTTCTACAGTATTTAAGACCTTCCAAATAAAAATACTTAGTTTAAGTCTTAACATTTCACATCTATACATTTTTTCTTTCATTTTTAGGAAGTACATCTCAGAATCTTGATTCTGGAACAGATTTATCCTTCCCATGGATTCTGAATGTACTTAATTTAAAAGCCTTTGATTTTTACAAAGTGATTGAGAGTTTTATCAAAGCAGAAGCCAACTTGACAAGAGAAATGATAAAACATTTAGAAAGATGTGAACATCGAATCATGGAATCCCTTGCATGGCTCTCAGTAAGTAACTAGCTAAAATAAAGATATTCATATACATATGGCTCATAAATTATCTATTAGAGTATATCTTAACATCTACCTTAAGAATAAATATAAAATTTAATGAATAATGTTATTTCAGTATATAACATTATTCAAGCCCAGGAAATAAGTGGAATATTAAAATAGTTTTATTTGAGTTCCCCAGGCCATCTAATATGGTGATTTACTTAGGAATACCTAAGAAAGCATGGCACTATAAAATAAAGTCCAAATATTTAAAGTGTTTAGGTAATTTATTTGAAGTGTGTGTTAAATTTCAACAAACTTAAAATTTTGAGATTATGCTATTTAGATAATTTAAAGGTACATTTTTTTCTTATTCAGTTTAATGGGATTCATTTTTATCCCATCATTAAAGATAGTACAAAAATCTACACTATTGTTCATTTATTAGTCTTGTTTAAAGGATTACTGTGGGACAAATTGTATTTTTTAGGTCTTCTATTTTTAGCATACAAGTTATTGATAAGGACGTTTTAGTAAAAGTGACATTTTCTTTCAATAATTATAAAATATTTATTTGATGTTTGGAGCATTTGAGATTTTCAGCTTTCAGATTAGAATGTTCAATCAATAAAGTCTGTGCAAATATGCCAATATCTGAAAAGCTCCAAAATCTGAAACATTTTTGATCACAGACATTTCAGATAAGAAATATAAATCTTTTAATTTATGCCAATTTGTATAAATGGCAATAGAAATTAAGACTTCAGTTACAGTAGAAGTGTGTGATTTTAACTTTTTGATATTTTACATATTCAATGACTAAGTGACAACCCATTTCATACTGTTTTCTCATATTGTCACATCGACAATGCATAGAGAGGAGTGCAGAAAATTGTTAGAAAAATGTTACAATGCTGTTATTGAATTTGGTAACTTTAAGACTTCCACTTGATAAGAAAAGTAGTGATTAGGAGAAAAATTTTGGAACCTTGGAGAGTAAATGAAAATAGTAACACTAAATAGATAAATAAAACTTAAAAATAAGTGCTTTTCAGGGACTTACGTGTCTCTAGAAATTGAAATCAGAACATTACTGTACCATCTGAAAGGGACTGTTGTTTCTTTAAAATAATTTTATTTCCATAAGGACACATTTATTAAGTGTCTGCTGTGTACCTTAGATTGAGTTAGACATTGGGAGGATACAAAAAACACAAAGGGTCTGCAAATTGTAGAGGAAGTAATGGAAATTGTTTGAAAAATTGCTTGTACTCAGGCCTGCTTAGCTCAGTTGTGACATTCAAGGACTCTAAATATTATTTGTTTATTTTTGAGAATTTTTGGAGAAAAATGACATACCTAAAGTTTGGAAAAGAGTGTAATTTAGAATGATGTGGAAGTCAAGGGCCTCTGAGTTTAAATCCTAAATGTGATATCTCTGAGAGATGAAACAATCAGTAGAGGATTTTTATTTAGGCATACATTGTCAATGTTTGAACTTTATATTACTTTTTTAATTATATAAAACCTAGGGTAGTAAGGGACAACTTTGTGAAGATAAATCATGCCCCACAAACAGGACGCTATTTTGCTGTGAGAGTAAGTGGCATTATAGAGAAGGGACATTGCACATATATTTGAACTTTCACAGACTTTATTTTACTTGAAGTGTAACATGTATAGACAAAAGTGTATATTTCAAATGATAGTTCGATGACTTTTTCACAAATTGAGCACAGCCATGTAACCAACACCCGTATCAAGACCAGTAGCAAATAATAGTTTTTTGATTCTGTATGACAATAAAAATTGCTGATTAATTCTGTACGTTAGTGGGAACATATTCGTATAGTGGTATTGACTAAGGGAAGCAAGTGAGGTACTATGTACCTCCTGACTCCCTTTTCTTCCTGGTGCTGGGGATTGATGGGGATTGAACCCAGGGTCTCTCACATGCTCAGCAAATACTCTACTACTGAGCTACTGTCCTCCTTCCTATCCTAATAATTTAATGAAAGGAAGAACATCACTGTATTTTTAATGATTCTGTAGGGAAAGAATTCAGTATCTTCGCTTGACAGTCTTGAGAACTAAATCAAGAAAGAAAGAGCACACTTCTGTTTCTTTTCAACCCAAGGAGATTAGTAGGCAGTAAATAAGTATACGATGCTGGGAAATTCTATTGGAAAACCTACTAAAATGTCATTCCCTGGAAATTTTAAAGGTTAGAAATGATTTAGAATGTACCACACCAAAGGGTTACGTTATATGACTTCCAGATGTTTTGTTAAATCTGTTAAATTTATAATGCTAGTAGGTGATGAGATCTTAGTTTCGCTATTTTCTAAATTTATAAGATTTTTCTTCAGTAAATCTGTATGAACCAAGTTATATTGAGTACTTTATTTTCTACATGGTCTCTCCTTTCTGGACTTCTGTAGGATCTTCCTGTTGCTCCCCCATCCGTTACCTTAGGGTCACTTCTCTTGTGGCAGCCAAAGAAATCTTATAATGCAGATCTTGTTGTGCTAATTCCTCAGATAAAAACTTGCTGTGGGGGTCATGTTCATCTGGTGATGATGGAAGAATGAATGCATGATGCCCTGCGGAAAATACTCATTGTACAACCTGTACAGACTAGAGAAAGCAGCAGCTTACAGTTGCTGGAAAGGGAGAACAGGAAGACTCTACTTCAGAAGGGGAGGGGAGGAGCTGTGAGCCTGTGGGGAAGATTTGTAATATGGGGCTAAGCGCTGCATGTGGGGGGAAACACCATAGTGTGGAGAGGGCATGCCAGTGGGAAAACTGTGGGCTTTTTGATCAGCGGGACTGGAAAACTGAAGCTGGAGAAACCTTGACCACTAAAGCAGGCAGGAGGACTTTGCAACGGAAGGAGCCAGAGAAAGGAGCCCAAACTGTGTTGGCCCACATCCCTGACTGAAACCTGAATCATTGCTGTGTGTAGCAGATGTGACAGACTCAAAGATCTGAGCTGTGACTGGAGTTCCTGCCCAGTGAATTGCATGAACAGTTAAGTTTAGCAGATAATTGCTTGTAAAACTAACCAACGATACCCTGGACTCATCTGAAAAAAAAGCATCCGTAATCTTCACACTATAACATGGTATCAAAGATATTATTCTGAAATTACCCCAATACAAAGGCCAGAGGAACCAAGTGCGTGTTTGTAGAATGGGGAGCTCTAGGTCAACTATTCTTGGATCAAAGACTTTACATTTCTTTAGTCTGTTGTCATTTAAACTGATAATGTAAAGCTGTTGATACCTTTCCGTGATTTAAGGTAGTGGTACTAAACTGTAGTCATTATATTCTTCACCACTGCACACTCCTGGTTAAAAAACCAAAACAGTGTGTCAGCTTCATTTAAGGAGGTTCTTGGTGAAGCAGTTAAGGAGTACTAATTTTATTACATCTTCACTTTGAGTATATACATATATACTTAACATTCAGTATGGTGAAATTGAGGTGTGTGTAAAGCTGCATAGCAAAGTGTGATAGTTGTCTTGAGGAAAAGCATTTACATTATTGGTTGAGTTGTGAACTGAAGTAGTCACTCTTCAAGAGACACATCATTCACTTGTAAGACTGATGAGCACAGTTGTTTATTCAGGCTTAAGTATTTGCAGAAATTTTCTTAATAATAGATAAAAAGCATGTTACTTCAAGGAACATAACTGACAGTGAAATTTGCCAGTGTGTTTTCAAGTGAAAATTAGAACCCAGAAAAACCTGTGTCCACCATTATAAACTCAGCACCTTCCTAACACTTCAAAGACTTCTCTGATGAAATCAGTGATGATATCAGTAAAGTGATTGTTTCATCCTATAAAGAGATTTGTCAACATTTGGAAGATCTACATAACCAGTGAACCAGTGTTTCCAAATGCCTAATGTATTATGTAAAATCATGGATGAGTAACAGATTCATTGAAAGTTCACGACAGACCAGTGGATTTTAAGTACTTAGAGTATGAAGTTTATTTCTGTTCATTGATTCTGATTCCCCACTGCAAATAATCTTTAAGAAACAGTCATTTTGTTGAATTTTGATGTAGTTTCAAAGAAGATAACCACATTATCTCAAAAGGCTATTGAAATACTCTTCTTTTTTCTACCTGAGGCCAGGTTTGTTTGTTTTGTGTACTTCCACCAAAACATCATATTATGACAAATATAAAAGGAGATATGAGAATTCAGGTCTCTTACTAAAACAGATTGTAGCAAGACTAAAAAGTACCAGTGTTTCTAATTTATTTAAATTTAAAGGATATTATGTTTTGAAAAATGTTACTTACTCTAACATATTATTGAAAATAATTCAAATATTCTTAAAACTTCTTGGCTTTAATTAAATTTTAATTAGACTTTGAGTACTAATAGTAGATCCTGATAAATGTAACTCACGTAAACAAAAGCTTTTGGGGTCCTCTGTAATTTTAAGAATATATAAAGGTTGTAAGTCCAAAAAGTTTGGGAATGCCCTGCTTGTGTTCTTTTCTCCATTTGGACTTGTCTATTTAATCACTTGCACAGCATGTTTGTTTATGCTAGTCCTTGAATTTTGAAATGCTTTTCCCTCCTTTTTTTTGAACACATTTTAAGGTCTATATCTACTTTGCCTTTTTTTCACCATCCTAATCTATAATCATTCTTCCCTCCTTTACTGTGTTTATTATTTATATTGCCTACTACTCGTTTATAAACGTTATATCTTACATGTCCGTATCTCATGTTAGGTGAACTAACATATACAAACCAATTAAATGGTATCTGGTATTATCAGATTTAGCAGTTGATGATGTAATAGTAAAGGACAAAAAGGGGTCAACTTACTTGACACCCGGGTTTCTCACTTATGTAACTAAGTGATTAGTAATGTCATTCTTTTAAGTGAGATGCTCAGTATTAGATGAAATTCTCTTGGGAGAATAACTTCCTTTTGATAGTGTTTGAAGTAACTATAGGTCATTCAAATAGAGGTGCGGTATAAT